TCAAAGGCCACGGCAAGAAGGTGGCCGATGCGCTCACCAACGCCGTGAACCACCTGGACGACCTGCCCGGCGCCCTGTCCGCCCTGAGCGACCTGCACGCGCACAAGCTGCGCGTGGACCCCGTCAACTTCAAGGTGGGCGCCGCGCGCCGAGTCCGGGGGGCGCGGGGGTGGGAGGCGATAGGTCCGGCGAGCCCTGACGCCCGCCTCTCCGCAGCTCCTGAGCCACTGCCTGCTGGTGACCCTGGCCTGCCACCACCCCTCCGACATCAGCCCCGCTGTCCACGCCTCCCTGGACAAGTTCTTAGCCACCGTGAGCACCGTGCTGACCTCCAAGTACCGCTAAGCTGGAGCCGGCGCCCCGTCCCGCCCCGTCCCCCCCCCCCTGCTCCTGAATAAAGTCTGAGCAGCGGCAGTCCAGCCGTGTGGCCGGGTCTGTGTTCCGAGTGTCCCGCCGGTGCGAGGCCTCCCGCAGCAGGAACTTCCTGGGAGACGGGAGGGTGGGGGGAAGCGCAACCCTAGGCGTTTGGGGGCCGTTGGTCTGCGATGCCCCTTTCCCTCCAGTATCTGCCAGGCCCGACCTGGGCGTGCCTGGCTGCCCCAGGGGCACGGCCGCCCGCTGGGCGGTCTCAGCACGGCCTCCTGGCGCCCAGGCAGGCAGGCTACAGGTCTCCAAGTCCCCCAAGCAGTCTCCCAAGTGTGGGCAAGCAAATCGCGGGGGGACAGCCCTCCCTGAGTGCCGCCGCCGCCCCCCAGGACGCTCACTCTGCAGACACCGACGTCAGGGCCACCTCCCTTTGGAACCCAGCTGGGCACCCTCCCCGGGCCAGGGCCCGTGGGAGGCGCTGGGCTGGAAGGCGGGCAGGGCCGGGGACTTCCTCTCAGGAGACCGTTGTCCTTTTTGTTATGCAGAAAAATGGGATCCGGGTTAAAAGTGAAACCCTCCAAAATGTGCCCCCAGGGGAGCCGGGGGACGCCAGAACCATGGCTTGGGAGTGACCCTCAGGCTCGGCAGTGTCTCTGTATCCCCCTGCGCTGCTCCCCACTCTCTGGTGACTCCCCCGCCCCCCACATCTCTGGCCTGCATCCTCGTTCCTTGTACACATGTTTTAAAAAAGGAGAAAAAAAAA